ATGACCATAAGACAAAGTCTCCTGATTAATGCTGATTCCGTTGCCTGGGCATGTTTCCTTTATGTACACTGGGTTTTTCCTCTCTCAGTAACAGATAGCCCTGGTGTAGCCAGCAGTATTAAATGATCATCTGTAGTGATTGTGTACTGGGATTAAACAAACGAAGGAGGTGAACAAGGACCTAGTCATTGTAGGGTTGCACCTGAGGGGCCAATTAGCATTGTTCTTTAAGGTTTCTCTTCTCCTATTACTCCTTGCATCCTATTTTGTATTTTACCTAAATAAGCATATTTTTACATATTTTATTTATTTATGTCTGATAGGATCCCTAATTCGATTGTGGGATCATGGTGGCTCCATACAATAAGCACTGGACTGACTGCTAACTAAAAGGTCTGCAGTTCAAGTTCACCAGCTGCTCCATGGGAAAAAGGAGCTTTTTGCTCCCACAAAGATTTATAGCCTCAGAAACCCTATACAGATTCTCTGTGAGTCAGAACTAAGTCAGCGGCACTTGACAACTATAGGATTGTAAGCTTGTTAAAAGGAGAATTGTGCCATATATTTCTTTGGAGTCTGCTGTAGTAAGTAGGTACTTGGGTGACTCAAATATTTGTTATTTGGTTGAGCTGGTGCCTGACCTCAGAGAGCCATACCTAGAAATTGCTGCATCTTACACTCATTAGTAGTGGTGGTGGTGATGTGCTGTGAAGTCAGTTCCGACTCATAGAAACCTTATGCAGGGTCACTGTAAATTTTTTTTTTTTTTTTAATGCAGGGAGTGGAAAGTGTCATCTTTCTCCTGTTGAACGACTGGTAGTTTCGAACTGCTGTCTGTGAGATTAGCAGCCCGACTGTAGCTACTACACTACCAGAGCTCCTTCTTATTTCATGTTTGTGTATTTTTAAATAATCGTGTTTAGTCCTTCGGATATAATTCTATCACCAGATAAGTGCCTTCAAGTCAGTGTTAATTCGTAACAACCTTGTATTTTATAGGGTTTCTGAGATGGCGGCTGGTGGGTTTGAACTGCCAACCTTGTGGTTCAAATCAACCTTTTGGTCCAGTACTTACCGTGTAGCACTGCACCAGGGCTCCAGCCAGCACGTTTGTTGTTATTGTTAAGTGCCGTCTAGTCAGTTCCTACTCATAACAACCCTGTATAATGTTTCCAAGGAATAGCTGGTGAGTTTGAACCGCTGACCTTGTGATTTAAATCGACCTTGTGGTCTAGTGCTTTATTCCACAGCATTCAGATGGTTCACCAAATATAGCAGTCTAATTTTTTTCTTTGGCTCACGAATGACGTTATAATTTTGGCAGGATAAAAAGGTTCCATATCCCTGATGTAGAGCATCCTTACCTGGGTTTTTACAATCTTAATAGCTTTCAGAACTGCTGTCTCCTTTCTATTTCCAGATCAGCACTCCCCCCACCCCGGAACCCTTTGAAATAGCATGGCTTTGATTCCATCTCTCTCCAGTAAGTCCATCTTCCACACTGCTGGCCCCATGCCCTTTTTATGACTGGATGCTCGTGACTTGAGGCAAGTGCTGGCTGTTTGTTACAGAGTCGGCCTACTTCTGCAGTTCTCTATACAGCAGAACCACACCCAGTGCCAGGCTGCAGCTTTGTACAAACTCCTCTCTGACTAGAAGTTCCTCATGGCTCCACCTGTACACCATCTCCCACCCCCACCGAGCTTCTGGACCATCCATGCTGGATGGTCCCCTTTCAGGACATTTTCTTAATTGTTCCAGGAAACTCAAAGGAAGGACTGTTTATCTACCTCCAAACACCTTTTCTTGTGTCTCACGTTGTAATGCTTGTTTCTCTGAAGTTTCTTAAGGACGTGCATGTGGTTGCTCCGTTGAGTAGCCCCTGAAAGTTGGTGACCCCATGCACAATGGAACAAAACGCTCCCTGGTCCTGAGCCCTCCCCATCATTAGCTGTAGGTAGACCATTGTGATCCATAGGGTTTTCTTTCGTTCGTTTTTTCATAATTTAGAGAATACTTTGTTAGTTTCTGTAATCAAACCCATGTAGATAAGACCTTACATATTTAATATAGTGTGCTACCCCTACACAAATGGGGGGGGAGGAAATTAAGTTCAACGTTTCTAACACTATGGCTGTTAATTTCTGTACATTGCCACCATAGGGTTTTCATTGGCTGATTTTCACAAGTAGATCACCATGCCTTTCTTAGTCCATCTTAATCAAGAAGCTCCATTGATACCTGTTCACAATCATAGCAACCTGCACACACCCACTGACAGATGGGTAGCAGATGCCCATGAAGTACATGGAGTGGGAATCAAACATTGTGTCTCTTCCTGAAAGGCAACACTGCCCCACTTTCCTGCTCATAGGCACCTCATGAATCGGAATGAATTTATTAAAAGAAATGCTTGTCCATTTATCCAAATTAAAAATAGTGTTCTCCTTTGTTGTTGTTAAGTGACATCGTTGAGTAGGTTCTGACTCATAGCAACTGTGTATAGAGTTCCCGAGGAGCAGCTGGTAGGTATGAACCACTGACCTTTCTGTTAGCAGTCCAGTGCTTATCCCACACTACCACACCAGGCACCCTGAATACAGATTTCTAGCCTGTGAACTGCAAAGTCAGCAGTTCGAAACTACCAGCTGTTCCGCTGGAGAAAGATGAGGCTTTCTGCTCCCATAAAGATTTACAGCTTCGGAAACCCTGTACAGGGTCGCTATGAGTCAGAACTGACTCCACGGTACACTATCACCACCAACTGTGAAAAAATAAACTTCTGTTTGATGAAGCTACCCACTCGGGCAATTTCTGTTACAGCAACACTTGATAACTAAGACACCATCTAATAAAAGTTACTCTATAATCTCATGGATTGCCTGGTTTCTTATAATCTTGTGGTTGCTTTGTGATTCCTGAGAAACAGCTTTGCCACCGCCTATATTGATACTTCAAAAAAAGATGGAAGGAATACACAGAGTCACTGTATCAAAAAGAAATGGTTGATGTTCAGTCATTTCAAGAAGTAGCATATGATCAAGTACTAATGGTACCGGAGGAAGAAGTCCAAGCTGCACTGAAGGCATTGTTGACAAACAAGGCTCCAGAAACTGACAAAATACAAATGGAAATCTTTCAACAAACTGATGGAGCACTGGAGGCTCTCACTCATCTATGTCGGGAAATTTGGAATCTGCTTGGTCCACTGATTGGAAGAGGTCCATATTCATGCCCATTTCAAAGAGAGGTGATCCAATAGAATGCGGAAATCATCAAAAAGTATCATTAATATCATATGCAAGTAAAATTTTGCTGAAGGTAACTAAAATATGGTTGTGACAGTACATCAACAAAGAGTTGCCAGAAACTCAAGCTGGATTCAGAAGCAGTCATGAAATAAGGGATAACATTGTTGATGTCAGATAGATCTTGGCTGAAAGCAGAGAATAGCAGTGAGATGCTTACTTTTGCTTTATTGGCTATGCAAAGGCTTTCAATTGTGGATCATGACAAGCTATGGACAGCATTGCAAATAATGGGTATTCCAGAACACTTAATTATGCTCATGAGGAACCTGTACAGAGACCAAGAGGCAGTCATTCAAATAGAAATAGGGAATACTGAATAGTTTTAAAACAGGAATGGTGTGCATCAGGTTGTATTCTTTTACCATATGTATTCCGTATTATGCTGGGCAGATAATCTGAGAAGCTGGATTATATGAAGAACATGGGATGAGGATTGGAGGAACACTCATTTACAACTTGCAGTATGCAGCTAATACAGTCTCACTTACTAGAAGCAAAGAGGATTTAGAAAACTTACTGATAAAGATCAAAGACAATAGCCTTCAGTAGGGGTTACACCTCTATGTAAAGTAAACAAAAATCCTCACCACTGGGCCAGTAAATAACAGAATAAAGATTGAAGAGAAAAAAGATTGAAGTTGTCAAAGAATTCATTTTGTTTGGATCCACTATCAACACTCATGGAAGGAGCAATCAAGAAATCAAATGACATATTGCATTTGGCATATCTGCTGCACAACACCTCTTTAAAGTGTTCAAGAGCAATGGTATCAGTTCAAGGACTAAGGAGCACCTGACCCAAACCATGGTATTTTTAATCCCCTCATAGGCTTATGAAATTTGTACAGTGAATAAAGAAGACCAAAGAAAAATTGATGCATTTGAATTTTGGTGTTGGAGAAGAATAGTAAAAGTACCATGGATTGAAGAACAACAAACAAATTTGTCTTAGAAAAAGTGCAGCCAGATTACACCTTAGAATCTGGGATGGCAAGACCTCAACGCATACTTCAGACATGTTATCCAGAGGGACCAGACTCTGGAAAAGGACATCATTCTCATTAAAGTCAGTGGAAAAGAGGTGGATTGGCACAGTGGCAGCAGTACCAGGCTCAAGCATAACAATGATGAGGAAAGTGCAGGACCAGACAGTGTTTTCTCCTGTTGTGCACAGGGTCACTCTGAGTCGTAGCTGACTAGACACGGCACCTAACAACATATTGTTGCTCTGGGTTTTTTACTTCATGGAAGTTTCTTTAGTTAGTCTTAACAGCAAAAAGCATTTCCTCTAAATAAATCTTAGCTTTTGACATCTGGGTACCCACTGCCATCGAGTCTCCAACTCATAACACCTTGTTATAGGGTATCCAAGACTGGGAGCAGACATCCTCATTTTTCTCTCTAGGAGCAGCTGGGGGTTTTGAACTTACTGGTTCTCAAATATTTGCTTGAATGTATTTGTGTGTAAGCTTGCCAATTGCCTTTCTTATAAAAACTAGACTTTAGTGTTAGATTGTATTACCTTGTGAAATTACAGTGACAGATACGTTGTATGTATGTGTCTAATGATTTTGCTCAGCAGAATAAAAGATTTGTAGTCTTTCAGTTTTAGAGCATAGAACTCTGGCTCCTCCTAGGTTTAACTATTTAGATGTGAAGCTGAATTCTCATTTTGTTTTCTGTTTTCAGGGATGATTCGGGTCCAGAAGACAACATCTGGAAGGGCATCCTCTCTGTTATTTTCTTCTTTCTCATCATCAGTGTGTTAGCGTTTCCCAATGGTAAGTAATATAATGCTGTAGCATAGTTCTTCTGTGCATTGTGCCATTCTGGCATTTTTAAGATGTGTGTCATTTAGAAGACAGAATGAGGGGAAAAAATCTGAGTCATATGTAGGACTAGATGGTACCCAGTTACCATTACTGAACGTTTTGACCAAAAATTCTACAGAGGAATCCTGATTAAAAGGGAGAAAATGCAGAAAAGAATTTAAAATGTAAAACTCCTAATTTCTGGGAGCCATGGAGGCTGGGTGAGCCCTCAAAACTATTTCCCCTGAGATCATTTTTAATCCTAAACCAAAAATATCCACTGAAGTCTTTTTAAAACCAAGCAATACTTTAGCTTAACTAGGAAACACAACTGCCCCCCAGCATTGTGTCCTTTTAAGAACCATGTGGGATCAAACTGACAACAGCCACTCCTGAAAGATTTGATAGAAAATATAGAGGGTAGTGATTGTAAGTTAATGAGAGAGGTACACTTCCAGAAAAGGAGGGTGAGAATTGATGTACAACTTGAAGAACGTAATCAGTATCACACGGACTCTGCAGGCAGACTGCCCATTCTGCTGCTTCCTCGTAGCTCTGTGACCCCAGAGAAATACCTACACTTCTTTGTGCTTTCAGTTCTGATCTGTAAAATGGCATCAACAGTGTGCACTGTTGTAAGGGTTAACTGAATTAATGCGTGTTAACTGCTCTGAACAGGGGCTGGCAAGCTGTGAGCACCCAGTAAATGTGTACTCTTGTTGCTGTTTTTATTATCAGCGGGGTAATAAAATACTCTCTTACTGCGGAGTTGTTCCTCCTTTGTGAGGCCCGCAAAGTGGAGAGGAATCCTTGAGCTCGTCTAGATCTCCTGCTCTGCAGACACTTGGGAAAGCTGATGCCCAGGAGGGTTGTTTCACAGGAAGCCACCCAGCTGCCTAGCGTCAGACGGCTGTGGGAGCCTCGGGTTCTGGCATTTTTATTTGACATTGTCCTGGTCATGTTTTACTGTCTTAGTAAAATATGGATTCCAGCTCATGGCTACTCTGTCATAAGGTTTCTGAGGCTATATCTTTATGGACACAGAAAGCCTCATCTCTCCTTTGGAGCAGCTGGTGGGTTTGAACTGTCAATCTTATGTTTAGCAGTCCACTGCTTAACTTACACCACCACCAGGGCTCCTCATGGAAGTGATCACCACATCTTAGCTGCTAAACCATCCAGAGTCCTGGCCCAGCCAAGTTGATAGAAAACCTTCACTACTGCACTTACTTAGCCCCTCACATGGCTTGATGACCAGGAAAGGGTGCTCCGGGCCTGTGGCTCAGACTACAGGCCTTTCCAGGAGCCTGGAGACCAAGGGCTGCTTCTCTGAGTAGACTGTAGACTGTGCAGACCTCTTCCTGCCCCATCTTACCACCTTATTTTCCATACTTCCCACACTGGCACATACTCTCTGAGTAGTGGAAATGGGAGAAAGAGAGCCCCAAATTTGCCTCCTTCAAAGGAAGTTTTGGGGGAAGTGCCTTCAATGACCATTCATTCCCAGAATGATTCTGTTTTGGCAACTTCAAATGTACTTACCTATGACCAAGTAAGGAGTCCTGGTGTGGCGCTGTGGGCTAATGCGTCAGAATGCAAAGTCATTTGAACTGCAACATCGGTGGTTCAAGCTCACCAGCTGCTCCTTGGAAACCCTATACAGGGTCGCTATGGGTCAGACTTGATTTGACAGCACTTAACTGCCCTGAATGTTTACATATCAATCTAAATATGATTGTGTCTGGACTGCTAAGGTTGGTGGTTCAAATTCGCCAGCCACTCCTCAGAAACCATATACAGGGTTGCTGTAAGTCTGAACCAACTTGATGGCACTTAAAAAACAATAGGAGGCTTGGTAATGCAATGGTTAAGTGCTTTGCTGCTAACCAAAATGTCAGCAGTTTGAAACTACCATTAGCTCCACAGGAGAAAGATGTGGCAGTCTGCTTCTGCAAAGATTGACAACCTTGGAAACCCTGTGGGGCAGTTTTCTTTCATTTTGTTGGAAGTCACTCCATGGCACTGGATTTACTTTGGGTCTTCACTTGCCTGTAAGAGAAACAAAATTCAGGACTTTTTTTAGTATTTTGAAGCACATGATATACTGATATTTCCTACTTTTGCTAAGTTTATCCTCTATTCTTCCTCCTCATTTGATTTCTCTGAGTTAAAATAATGGTAATTACATCTCACAAGGTTTGAAGGCAATCCAGAAGGTTAAATTTCTGTCTTCTGAATTAAAATAAATGTAAAGTGTTCTGCACACCTCCATTTTCTATCTCTACTCCACAGCCTTTTAGGGGTGCAGGGGGACTTTTTCTCAGGTTTTGAATTTGTTTGGAGAGTTGTGAGTGACTAAAAGGGCCTTCCCCAGGGATCTCTTGCCAGATAATTCAAATGTGTAATGTTGCAAAGGCAACTTCTGGCTTTGGTAAGAGACTTATACACACACACACCTCCGTAAGATTGTTAGAACACACTACAAGGCTGTGAACAACAACGACTTCTGGCTTTGGTAAGAGACTTACATACAGACTCACCTCCTTAAGATTAAGTTAGAACACACTACAAGGCTGTGAACAAGGTTAGGCCTATCCATCTGAATAATTATAATTGTTTCTGTTGAATCAAGCAGTGATCTGATTTTTTAATATTAAAGATAGTGTTTTAAATGCTAGCTCATCTCATGACAAAAACATTTGATTTTTGTTTCTACTGAACTTAAACATGCCGTTAATATCTGCTTGACAATTAGAAAGTCTCATATTCTGAGGCTGAAAGAAAATAAAATATTTTGCTTTTAAATGTGCCTTGTAAGATAAACCACAATTCAGAACACAACCACATTTGTTTCTTTGTTGCTGCCCCAAAAAGCATCCATTCTTTCTCCTGCACTCGATCAACTGAACTGAAGAGTCAAGCTTTTGTCGTTGTTAGCTGCCGCCAAGTTGCCCCTGACTCATGGTGACCCCTTGCACAGGAAGGATATGTTATCAGGTCTTGCATCATCTTCATGGTAGGGTTGTGGGTCAGACTTTGGTGATCATTAGGGTTTTGAATGACTGATTTTCAGAAGTAGACCTTCAGGCCTTTCTTCTTGTCTGTGGAATTGACCAGTCCTGTTGAGGATCATAGGAACACACAAGCCTCCACAGACAGGTGGTAGATATACTTGGGGTACATAGGTCTAGAATCAAACCTGGTTTCCTTCATGGAAGATGAGAACTCTACTACTGAACCATCAATCAGATCAGAAATAAAGGAGCTAAGAAGCACAGAGCCCCCAGCCCAAGGGAAGAAATCTACGTTTGTAAGATCACTGAGGAAACAGATTGCTGGCTGCTCTGTGGTGCGGTGGTTGAGAGAAAACGAATGCCTATAGAAGCCAGGGGAAGCACCCACGAGCCCTGGAAAGTCTTGTCTTAGAAGCAAGAGCTTACCATCTTGCATTGTCCCTCACTGAGAAGCTCTCCAAGTGACCTTCCTTGAGTAGCCAAATGTTGGTGATGTAGCAACGTGGACGTAAGTTTCAAGGTCTGCAACAGAAATATGCTGGCCTTGGTTGGCAGAATGTGCCCTTTGGACATTTAAATGAATATATATTGTATTTTGTTTTGTATGTATACATCAAATATTTTTGCTTTGTTCATTTGTGAAATATAAGATGTAAATGGAGGAAGCGGGAAACTCTTGTTGCATGGAGGGGGTTGTAATCATTGAGATGAAGCAAAGTGTATGATTTGTTGAATGTAAAGCTGATGATCTTGTCTGTAAACCTTCACTCAATTCACAATAAAAAGTTAAAAAAAGAAAAGAAAAAACCTTGATTATTAAAAAGTAAAATACTAATTTCAGCAATATTACTGTCTTTGTGAAGATGACACTGTTAGTGAGTAATGCTACGAGAATGTATTTCTTAAAATACTGTTTTGAAAAAGAGCAGAACCGTTTCTCCTCAGGAAGAAGTAGGGGATTGTGACAAGCCTCGCAGTTTGGGAGGAAGAAGACTGTGGGTGACCGAAAGAAAGCCTGAATTAAGTTTTGAAGTTAGCTCTGTCATCTTTGAAAGGGTCGGTTTATATTGTCACGGCCTTATCTCACCATTTGTAGGCAAAAGTGATCCCCACCTACCTCGTCTTGACTTCAGAACATGTCTTCGCTGCATCAGCTCCCTGCTTGTCTTCCCAGGAGTCCTCTCTTCCATTCCCTTCATGATTTTTCCTGACCTTGCCTATGGCTTCCTCATTGTTAAAGCAAATGAGTCTTCAACCCCACGCCCACCACTTTTCTGCCTTCTAAACTAACTCTGAACACCTCAAGTTTATTTCTCTCTTATTTCTGGCCCTCTAACCTCGTGGTTAGCAGTTTGAAACTACAAGCTGTTCCGCAGGAGAAAGATGAGGCTTTCTGCTCCCGTAAAGATTTACAGCCTCAGAAACCCTGTACAGGATCGCTATGAGTTAGAACCGACTCTGCGGCACATAACAACAACAACAACCACTTTAGGCTCAAACCTCCAGACGTTTCCTCTGCTCTCATCCTCTTGGCCTGACTGATAACATTTCCAGGAAAATACATAGGTTTAGGATTGGACAGACTTGAGGTGGAATCCTGTTTGTTCCACGTTAGAATGATAACAGCCCCACATTAGGAGAACTAAGATGCTGTGTGGTCTCATCCCACAGCCCGGGCACACTCAGAGTTCAGGAAATTACTGCTGATATAATTATTACTGATGTTGAGAATAACATTTATGTAGTTGTATGATTGTGGGACTCCTGGTGTGGTGCTGTAGGATCAGCACTGGACTGAAAACCACAAGTTCAAACCTATTACCAGCTGCTCCTTGAAATCCCTATACAGGGTCGCTGTAAGTTGGAACCAATTCTACGGCACTTACCAACAACAATATATGATTATAAGTGTTAATTGAACCCTGGTGTGGTGCTGTAAGATAAGCACTGGACTGTTATCAGTTTATACCCACCAGCTGTTCTCAGAAACCCTATACAGAATCGCTATGAGTTGGAACAAACTAGAGCCAACTCAGCTGTGTTAATTGGGCATGGAATTTTGTTGCAAGACCAATAGTTGATCCTAAAATTTAGAATTGGACCTTCTAGAAGGCCAAGAGAAAGCTGAGGTGTCGCATATTATGTCTGAGTTAGGAGACTGAGGAAGTTTTCGTTACAAACCAGACAGCCACTATGAAACAGATCACTCATGGTGACAAGTCAAGAGCCATCAACCTAACACAGAAGAGAGCATTTGGAAAGAAGATCACTTAAATTATGGCAATGTGAGCCTTCAATTTTCTAATGACTTCTAGAGAAAAAGAGTCACATTATTATTATCTGGAAGGGGAATCTGGTTTGTTTGCTCCACTGCCTTTCTAAAACACAGGTGGTCCTCGCTGTCTGAACACCCGCTGTCAGACTTTGAGATGAATCCTTTACTACTTGAACTCCCATTACTTGCTACCCCCAAACTCAGGAACCCAATTATTTTCGAGCATGCAGAATCCCCTTTTGAACGTAGCACCTTCTGACCTTGTACTAACCAAACTCGAGAACTGAGTAGTTTTAGGATACCTAACTGATTTTCACAATAGGAACTTGAATTGTAAGGAAGTACTTGACATGTTTAGGTGTAGTCTTTTTAAGAAGACATCGGCAAGTTCAGAATAAAAATTCTAGAGTTCTAAAATAAAAATTAAACTGTAAGGTTTGCATCAGATAGGCTCTAACAGCAGCTGACTGCTGACTAGACCCCTTACTGCCATCGAGTCCATTCCAGCTCATCATGGCCCTCTGCAGGGGTTCTGGCTCTGTACACCTGTCCCAGAACATACAGCCTCGTCTTTCACCTGGGGAGTGGCTAGTGGCTCTGAGCTGCCTACCTTGCAGTTAGGAGCTCAGTGCTTCTCCTATAGTGCCACACCCTATTAAACGATATTGGCTGGTTCACAGACTCATTGGAGAGCTAGAAAACCAGGCTCCAAGCTCCAGGCTAAGAGCAGGCACCATCCTCTGAACTACTGTATCGAGGAAAGCCTTGGGAGCATTGGTTAGAGTCTGGGCTGTCCTCATTTCTGCAGTGTCACTATCAGCATCATCGGAGCTCCCATTCACACTGCTGGCTGGCAAGTGCTAGCAAGAGGGAGAGCTAGGGCATACTCCCCACACAAATCTCTGGTGTGACCAGCTCCTGAGGTCGTTTGGCCTGAGTGAAATTGCAGGGCCAAGCTCTGGTGTTAAAGAACGCAGGGGGGAAAAACTCCAGGGTCTCCCCTAAGACTGTGGGGTTCATAACATTGGCAGTCTTTCAAATGCAGGAAGATTGGGCAGTCACAAACAGGACAGGTGCCCACTAGAGCCTTGTATTTCAATGCTTGCCAGTTACAGCTCTTCAGTTGATTGTAATTGATTTAGTGGATTGCAGCCCTGCTGGCTTTTTTTTTTGTTTGTTTGTTTCTTTGTTTCATTGAAATAGAAGTACAGATAGATCACTTTGTAGTAAGGGAAAAGTTTATCCTGGGACGCTTTTGTTTCACTTGTGTAGATTCTGCATCTTTGTCTCTGAGCCCCGTTGCCAAGTAACGGGTATTTTGTTACCATGGTCCATGATCAAAAGCCACTGTATTTGCATGTTTCAGAGCTCAAAGGGTGCGCTGCCAGTCACTTAGCACTCTGGTCATTTCCAAAACATGCAGTATTTTCTCTTCTCTTCATTCTTTAACACACACCTGAGACCCAGGGACTCTTGGACAGCTGGAAGATTTCACTTACAATGTATATTAATAGAAACTTAAAATCTATTCTGATAACCTTTTTGTTGTTGTTAAGTGCTGTTGAGTGGGTTCCGACCCATAGTGACCCTGTATAGGGTTTCCGAGGAGCAGCTGGTGAGCTTGAACTGGCGACCTTGCAGTTCAAATGGCTTTACATTCTGGTGCATTAACCCACAGCGCCACACCGGGACTCCTACTCACTCTTAAAAGACTGTTTCCAAAGGAAATGATATTCTGAGTTCTAAAGAAAAAACTAAAACAAAAAACAAAAAAAAGAGCCTGTTTTGGAAAGTGTTGCCTGTTATGACAGATGATGCTTGTTACATACAGTACTGAGCAGACATTTCAGTCTAGACTTTGACCTCAAAGTATTTATGTTAAAAAACAAAATATAGCCCTAGGAGCATTGTATTATCTGTATGGAGATCAGTGGTGGTGTCTTTATTTTTCTTTCCCTTTGTTTGAAAGCAATTCATCCTAATCGCATATTGTTGTTTCTCTGCAGGTCCCTTTACTCGACCTCATCCAGCTTTATGGAGAATGGTTTTTGGTGAGTGTCTAATAGAATATTTTACAATATATATGGTGGTGTTATTGTCAAGTGCCTTTGAGTTGGTTCTGACTCATTGTGACCCTGTTTCCAAGGACCCTGTTTTGAACCACCAACTTTGTGGTTAGCAGTCCAGTGCTTATCCTACAATGACGCCCCAGGACTCCAGAATATACATATATTTATAAATTTTAATCTCTTTCTATATGGGAATATGCCAGTTTTACTTATCACTCTAGAGTTAAAACTGTTGCTTTTTATTTGCTGGTTCATAATATAAATTTGTTATTGAAATACTTTTCCCTAAAATAAAGTCCTGGTGATGACTTATGGCTTACACTTCTCCTAATGCATGTACTCTCCCCTCAACACACTAGAGTTCTTATGTCCTTCTCTATTACGGACACAGTAGGATAAGCACTGGACTGCTAGGTTGGTTTGAACTGCAAGACTAGCAGTTCATATCTACCAGGTGCTCCTCGGAAACCCTCTGTAAGGTCGCTTGAGTCAAACCAACTCGACAGCAGTAAACAACAATGACATTAACATACACAGGATTTGACTTGTTTGCTGATTTTCCTCTATGCTTTTTGATGTTGCTATTTGCCAGTGCAAACTCAGATGCATCCTTTGGGTACATTTGCCAGCATGTGTCAGGGGTGGGTGATGGAAACCCTGCAATCCAATTTCTTCCACTTTATAAATGAGAAAGAACTTGCAAAAGGAAGAAAAAGCCCTAGAAAGGTAGCCTTGTCTTAAGTTGTAAGATTTCATTACTGTTAGGTGCCCATTGAGTTGATTCTGCATCATGGCAGCCCCGTGTGTGCAGCGTCCAGCTGCTCCATGGGGTGTTCAAGGCTGAGACTTTCAGAAGCAGATCAGTAGGCCTGTTTTCTGAAGTGCCTCTTGGTGGATTCGAACTGCCAACCTTTTGGCTTGAAGTCAAGCACATAACCATATACACCACCCTTAGACTCCATGCCCATATTATTAATAGCACATAAGTGGAATGATGTAAAGATACCTTGATACTATGTTTTTATCTTGTTGTTATTGCTAAGTGCTGTTGAGTCAGTTCAGACTCATAGCACTCCTGTGTAGGGATTCCACCGACCTTGTAGTCAAACCAAACATACCCAAACTGAAAATATTTCAAGTACACATTTGATACCTAATTGTTATTAGGTGCCTACAAGTCAGTTCCGACTCATAGCAACCCTGTATAGGGTTTCTAAGGCTGTAAATCTTTATGGAAGCAGAAAGCCTCATCTTTCTCCATAAGACCAGCTGGTGGGTTTGAACTGCTGACATTATGGTTAGCAGCCAATGCTTATCCTATAGCATTACCTAATGTTGTTGTTATTAAGTGCCATCAAGCCAGTTCTGACCAATAGCAACCCCGTCTAGGGTTTCCGAAGAGCAGCTGGTGGGTTTGAAATGCAGACCTTGCAGCGTCCCCTAATACTGAACCCTCAGTGTAAAAAGAAGCTAAATGATTGTGTGGTACTATGGGATAAAGCACTGGACCACAAGGTTGGGAGACCCCCAGCGAGATGGGTTGGCCAAGGGGCAGCATCACTGGGCTTGAGCGTGGCAACAATTGTGATTAAGTGTCTAACATTAATACTAGATATCTTGTTTGTACTTAATTTTCTAGTCCAATTATTCAAATCTCGTAGGTGGATTAAAATCAGTTTTTAAAAACTTGGTATATTGGATATTGGCTAAATTAGACATTGAATTATTTTAACTTTGAAAAATACTGTCTTATGTGAAAATGTAAAAGGATTCTAAACATGGATGTTTCCCTAAAGGTTACCTATTTTCGAGATCATAGATCCATCTCTTTGTCTTTGTCATTTCATTGATGAGTGTTTTGTTATCCACTCAGCAGGTATCCACCAAGTATTGCTGGGTGGTTCCTGCTGATCTGGGCACTGAAGCCATAGGGGAGGACAAACAGACAGGGCCAACCTGCCATAAATTATCCAAAAAAATGTCAGATGCTGCAAAGTGTTAGGAATTGATTACAACAATATGAGCTGATAGGGGTGGTGAGGGAAAGTGGAAGTCTCTCATGCAGAGATGGTGGGGAGGGGGGATGGCCAATAAAGGAGAAGGCTGCTCAAACAGTGGTCAGGGATGGAATGCTTGCTGCTATAGCTGTCATTCCAGCCATGGATGTTCTCCTCCGGAGCAGCTCATTGGAGATTAGTGTTGAGCCCAATTTGGATGGGGTTTTGTGAACCAAGGTCATTTGTATCACAGTGTGTAGCTGTCCTGCAGAACATCATTTTCATTCTATCAGGTTTCACCAGAAGAGACCAGTGACACTGGTGGTTGATTTTCCAATCTTTCTGAAATGCATTACATGCTGCCTTCTTAAAGTATATTATTGACTTAGATTTTTAAATCATTAGGGGTGATTTTTACAGTTGTAGTTAAGTGCCACTGAGTTGGTTTTGACTCATAGTGATCCCCGTATAGGGTTTCCCAGTAGGCTGGTGAGTTTGAACTGCCAACCTTGCAGTTCATACTGAATTTGCAGTCCAGTGCTTGTCCTATAGTGCCATAGCAGGACTCCTATTTTTAGAGTTAGTGCCATCTAGTTGATTTCAACTAATAGTGACCCTGCATAGGATTTCTAAGGAGCGCTGGTGAGTTTGAACTGCTGACCCATGTGGTTCATCCTGACCTTTTGGTCCAGTGCTTTATCCCCCAGCACCACACCAGGACTCCATTTTTAGTTGTTGTTGTTGTCAGGTGCCATTGAGTCGGAACCAACTCATAGCGACCTTATGCACAGCAGAATGAAACAATGTCCGATCCTGGGCCAACCTCACTACTGTTACCATGCTTGAGTCCATCGATGCTGCCACTTGGCTAATCCATCTCGTTGGGGGTCTCCCTCTTTTTCTCTGACCCTCCACCTTACCAAACATGATATACTTCTCCAGCAACTAGTCCCTCCTGACAACATGTCTGAAGTATGAGAGATGAAGCCTGGCCATCCTGGCTTCCAAGGATATATCATAATAGAATAATGCCTGCAAGGATGAATGTAGACCACTGAAAGAGTACTGGACTGGTTGTCCACACTCATCCCTACTCACCAAGTCCATTCCCCACCAAGCAACCAGAGTTGCCTTTGTTAAGTTCTTAGAGTGCCTCATTTCCCTGTTGAAACCTCTTCAAGTCCACTCCATGCCACTTCAGATACAATATGAAATCTTGGCCATGGTCTTCAAACCCTGCACTCCCTGGCCCTGAGTGTCCCCTTTGTGGCATCCCACTCCATTCCCATCTTTTGCCAGCACGTCAACATGCGTCCCATCCTAAACAGTTCTCTTCAGGGACCCATCTGCCCGCTCATGATGCTCATCCATGCCCACCCATACACCCTTTGTCTGCAGGTCCTCTAAGTCTCAGCTTCAGCATCATTCTCTGACATTTACTGACCTCTTCCTGCAAAACTTTATCAGACTCTCTCATCAAAGAAGATACCAGATTGCAGTGAGGTCTCAACAGTGTACATTACTATTGTGGTGTCTGCTATTATGTATATGTAATGTATGCAGTGTGTCTAGCAGTCAGATCTCTCCTGAACTTGAGCATGTCTTTGTTTCCCTCAGGACTCAGTGTGCTCTACTTCCTGTTCCTGGTCTTCCTCCTCTTCCTGAATTTCGAGCAAGTGAAATCCATAATGTATTGGCTGGATCCAAATCTCCGCTATGCCACCAGGGAAGCCGATATCATGGTATGTACTCGTCTAAGAATTAAGTGGTAGATTTGGCATATAGGAAGTCGATGCCTTTACATTATAAATTGTTCCTTCTCCACATTTTCTGGGTGTGTATCTAAAACTCAGATCTCTGAGCAGGTCATTGAGGTGCATGGTTTTCCACTTGGAACACAGTCCAGGGAAATGGAGCCCATACATGCACAGAGTGTTGTGGTAGGAAGAGTGTGATCGTTATCATCCAACAGGGCTTGATTTCAGCCTCTCTATCGCTTGTTAGAGTCCTGGTGTAGCGCTGTGGGTTAGTGCACCAGACTGCAAAGCCGTTTGAACTGCAAGGTCGGCAGTTCAAGCTCACCAGCTACTCCTTGGAAACCCTATACAGGGTCACTATTTGTCGGAATCGACTCAATGGCACTTAACTACAACAACAACATCACTTGTTAACTGTAGGACTTTGGAAAAAGTAATTATTAATCTATTTCCCTCTTGTCATGTAGAAATAAAAATACTTATTCTGGCGAGTTACTGTGAACTAAACAGAGGCCCACTGAACTCTGCTGCTAACTTAAAGGTTGGTGGTACAAGTATACCCCAGTGCATGCCGGTCTACTTCCAAAGCCTCTGCCACTGAAAACCGTGTAGAGCATAGTTCTATGCTGACACGCATGAGGTGCTCATGAGTTGGAATTGACACTGTGATAGTGGTTTGTTTGCTTTCTGGCTTTCTATTCAGTTGTGTTATCTATAAGGTCTATCCCTATGAGGTAACTGTTTATACTCATCCACATTCAGACATCAGGTTCCTACTTA